TTAAAGAATAAAAATGTCATTTTCTTGCGATTAATAAATAAATGAAGAGAAAAAAGAACTTTTCTTAAATAAGTATACTAGAAATTAATACTAATATATTAAATTTTGAAGATGCGAAACTAATATTAAATTCGGAAATATTATTTATTTCCGTTCCGTTTTTGCAAAAGGAAAAAAAGAGCTTGAAATTTTTCATAACAGATTTTGATGATTAATATATTCAATCATTTTGAAGAATTTATATGGTTAAGATAAAAGTAAAAAAATTTTTAGTTCGTAATATTATGTTAAAAATATTTCACTTGGGTGTGGGTGTTTGTGTTCACATGCATGCACCCATACCCACACCCACACCCTCGAACAATCTCTTTAGTTTTGCGAGAGAACACTCATCAGATCATAACATGCTTTTCAGCTTTCAAATGTTGTTTATAAACAGTACATGATTATAATAGGAGAAGCTTCAGAAGATGGAAGCAGAAGCTACACATTTTGATTTATATGACGACTTTTAAATTTTCACTTAAAGTTTACTCATATCAAGATCTTAGTCAAACTACCACGCCTACTATATTCCAGAACTTTGTGATCGATTATTTCAGATATCAATTTTAGTAATTTTTTTGTTTAAACATTCGTTCAGATTTCGTAACAGTTTTGATAGTATTGTATTTCGTCCATAGTTTCAATATAATAAAACACATAATACTTACCATGATAAAGCTCGGCTTTTCACAAGCAGCATATATTGTATGTTATAAACTTGAATTATTTCAAGAACAGAGCAAGTCAAGAATCACTTATAGGAAGACATATTTAGTGCAGACAAAGAAAAATCCAAAGAGTAGAATGAAAGAACGATTTCTATGTTGATGATGGATGAAATGAAAAAGAAAAGAAGTGTAGGATTTGCTTGTTACGAAAGCAATGTCGACAAGCAAGAAAAATAAAGTATAATATGTTTTATCAAAACAAATTCAATGGAACAAGGAACGTTTTATTTCATGTTTGATTAATCATGCATCTATGATTAATTAGTTAATCTATACAAAATTAAATAATATGCGTTTTTGGAAAACCAGCAACTTCTTTAACAGCTATAGTCCTTTTTTTCTGTAACTATTTCCGATATACTCTTTTTAATACCAAATAGGAATATTCAGTTGAATGATTTATCCACCATAACGTTCTAATGAACAGAATGTTAAAATCTTATCAGCAAATCCTGAAATATTCAGGTTGGGTGTGGGTGTGGTTGTAGTTATCGGTGTGGGGCGTAGGATTTGGCGTGGGTGCGAGTGTAGTTGTGTTCACCCACCCACACTCATACCCCTCATCAAGATTTTCAAAAATTATTTTCGATCAGAGCAAGCGATCGATTGTTATTCGTCAATAAGACTGTTTGTTGATAGCGAAATAGACTGAATAACTGTTCATGTTGTTTTATTCTTATGAATTACTTGAAAATTCAAATAAAAATCTGCTCGCTAGATAGAACAATCTTAACTCTTCTCTTTGAACAAACACAAACCATAAGGTCGAATGAGTTCGCTTTCTGGCACATGATGGTCCGCTGCACTCAACCAGTAGATACCTACGCCATGCAGTCTCCGCTTTCGGAAACACTTTTAAATACTTGGGATTGACCAGATTTTGAATGATACACTTATACGATATACTTTCGTGCTTAAAGCTTGTTGAATAGAGTTTTGCGACCTCTAACTCAGGCGTTGAGTATATGCCTTTGCCGAACTTAGATCGTTCGATTTTGCTCAGCTTAAAACCTGCTTCGGCAATGTTCAGTGCGTTGTGCTGCGCTGTACCGTGATAAGAAATGAGCCGCTCATATGGCTCATCTCCTTTCATGCCGAGCCAAACATTGTCTGTACCAAATTTATCTTTGATTTTGAGTGCAACTCGATATGACCCGCATGGACGTTCATATGGTTGATTGCCCCTACGAAACGTTTTGCCATCATCGCATATGTTGATAAAATCACAATCAAACTCGGGTTCCAAACAATCTGTACTGACCGCAAGCGGCCCCTTCAGGAATTCTCTTGGAATATTTTCACTGGTACCGGATACTGCAGGTACAAGCGACTCATATAGATTAATTAGATTCACTGAAATGAGTGATAAGGTTGCAATACCCAAGCCTGTTGCAGCTATTGGTACGCCTAATAGTCCAAATATTGCTCCGCCTACTACGGCGAAAAGACTTCTGACTACAGCGTTGATCAGCGATTGTGATGGTGGCGTACCATTGGAAGCCATAGTTTTTCTGTACCAGCTAACGTTAGCTATAAAATGGATACTTGATAAAAAAAATAATCACTGAACAATACTTTTCTTCGTCATACAAATAATATCTTATACCTGGTAAGATACCAGCTATTTTTGATCAGCAGATAACATCCGCAAAAGAAACGTGGTAAGAAGATACCCACTCTACTGTCTGATTTTCTTTCCTATAGTAGGATACTACTTCTACTTCCAACTTGCCGATATTGCTTGAAATCATTATTCTTATCAAGAAGATAATATAGGTGAATGGCTTATTTTCTCTCCCTTTCGTTTTATGACCTCTGATGGCTGCGTTATTATATGAAGAGACATTCTCTAATTTCAACATAAGAAACAATTTTCAACTTTGGCCTTCTTATACGTAACCATACGTTAAAAGACAACAAAATAAGTGTGAAAAGCTGGTGTGCATATCTCAGAATCGCGATGTTCTGGAGAAATATGATGTAGTATGTTTTGTAAAACTCTCGTCTTTTATCAGAAGCCTCTCAATGACAACCAAAAATTTTTCCTTACTAAAATGAACAACGACCAATGTTATAAAAAATATGATAAAATGAAAAGCTTTCTGAATACTTGTTTTTTGTGACACATTACTCATGGGAGTATCCTGTAACAAGAATCTCATTTTTTCTTAGAACATAAACCTACGCATTTTTATTGTATTCCATAGTTACTGGTTTTCGTATTATACTGTATTTGACCTCCTCCATACTAGCATATGATGAAACTAAATTAATGTTGTTGAGTTTAATACACAACTCAAAAAAAAAAAAGTGGCACAAGACCTTTGACCTCAACTATGTCTAATCAGGTAGTATCTGTCAGATTTCGTTTGAGAGTAGCAGGACAACTAATGAGACCCTTAAAACAAATCGTTTTAACACATATTTTTCGCACAAGTTGGTATTTTGTTCACAGGTGGGTTTTTAAAAGACAATGGTTTCTCTGCAAGTCGATATGTTCCAAGTTTTCTTTTTCCTTCGACAAGATAGCTACGTAAATTCTCTTTTTTTTCTAGGATACATCTGACAAAAACCATTTCGGTTTTTTACCAAAGAGCATCTTTGAGAAGTTGCTGTCTGAGAAAATACTCATGCTTTAAATTGCATAATTAGGAAGATTGAATCCAACGTCAACTACGACGTAGAAATTTCCCTACCTTAAATGCATCTATAAAGTTAGTTTCACCCAGCGAAACTTCTTCTACTACGATCGACCTCTTGTGGACCAAAAGAATCCATGGAGAACCAACGTTTCGTCGTCATTCAAATTTACGTGCTTGCTTAGCGTTTGAAAGGGTATGGGTCCGGCTGTGGGTGTTGGCCTACTCTTCACGCACACCCACACCCATACAAAGAACATCGAAAATTCAATAGTAGTCACTCGAGTGAACCAATAGTGACAGTTTATCGAGGACAGTTGATGTCCTTAGAGAAAATTAATGCACTTGGAGTATTAAGCGACCAAATAATCGTGAACAGTTTCTTCTCTACATCTCTCGATCGTTCTGTAGCACTGTTTTTGCTAGATTCATCAACTCTACTTGATGATCAATTGCAAAATGTTTTGTTCGAAATTGAACTAGACACTAGAAAACGAACCCTTCCTTTTGGAGATATTTCGCATTTGTCTAATATACCAAATGAAAATGAAATTTGCGACTGTACAGATATTTCGAAGAAACAAGATATAGATGATAGCAAAGAAAATGTATATCATCATCTTTTTTGAATTATGCGATATTTGACCATGCCTTTCTACTAACGATAGGAACTCATTTGAAAGTGGTGAAAGTATTTTATGATAAAGACAAAAATATCTATTCAGTAACATTGGCACTACCTAACGACTTCATTGACGCAACAATGAGAAGAACATTAAAAAACTGTCTTAGTGTAACTGCACAGGATGTTTATCGCACAAGAATAGAAGATATAAATGCTATTTTCAAAGGATTACATGAATTGTTTCCTTCCGAGAAAGGATGGATCAAGGCACTACAATATGAATGTCTCGGGTAAACATCACGATTGGACTCGAAAAAACTACGATGTTGCCTTGTCAATGTATGAAAAAACATTAAAAGTTTACGAAAATTATTTAAATGATAGTGAATTAAACACTTTCGTTGATATTGAACGTGTTCATTATCATATTGGTTATTGTTATCGATATCATATTGAAGATAGCATCCTTGCAAACAAGCATTATGACCTTGGAATCACTTGCTGTATTTCTTGTCTACAAAAAACAGTAAATCAAAAACAACGAATTGAACTGTATTACATCATAGTTTGGAACTACACAGACAAAATAAGATTCTGTAATGATGAAAATGAAAGAAGAGAGAATACATTAAATGCTATGAAATATCGAGAACTACAACTGGAAGAAATGTTAAAATATTATTCACCGGAACACATGAAGACAGTACAATGTATTTATGATCTAGCTGACTTACAGAAATCGATATTTCTTTCTGAATCCACCTTGATTAACTACGAGAAAGCTATCCACATATATAGTCTGCAAGATAAGCCAAGATTTGATAAGATTGCTAATATATATATAATCAATCAACGACATTTATAATTCGAGTTTTTTAAATATATAAGTATATCTATATATGTTGGTTAACTTTTCTAAATGCTACTTTCTCTTCTACATAAAGGTACGTTAACACACAGCGATTATTGTTCAAAATTATTTCGATCATGCAGATCAACCTGACGCTGTAATTCGATTTCTTCACCCATTTCAGCATCAACATCATAATCATTAATCATCTTATGTGAGTTCTAAAAAAAAAATAAATCACTTTGCTTAGACAACAAATAGTTACTTCAAGATTTTTCAAGAGTACAGCGATAATAATATCAACAAGTATGAGTTGAGTTATGAGGACAAAGGTAATAAAATATATAGGTGAAATCATTGTCGTCAACTTATTTTCTTCAGTAACAGATGAATCATCTTGACGTAAAGTGTCCTTAAACAGAATATTTGTGATTAAAAGAAACAAATTCTAATGTTTTTTTTTCATTTACTTACTTTCATAATATCATTCCAATTACTACCTGTTGCTACGCGAAATAATGTAAGTGGAGCTATACCAAAATCTTTAAAATTCGCATGGTTACTCAGCCCACTACATGATTGTTCTTGACTACATTCTAATTTTCCAAATAATTCAACACCCAGTATAGCAAAGATAAAGAATAGAAGAAACAACAGAAGATTCTCAACTTTAAAAAAAAATAATAATAATAAAATAAACTCTTCAAAAGCACTAGAATAACTGAATTTACCAAATTTCCAACCTGTGGAAGCGCTTCACTAACTATATTTAATAGAGGACGAATACATTTGACTATCTTCAGTAGTATAAGAACTGAATTATAAAAGAACATAGTTTTTTATTAAATTATTCTGTTCATTTACCTCGTGTAATTCTCACTATTCTGATCACACGAATAAGTAATGCATTTATTCGAAGAATATATCCACTCTTCATTCTTTTCGAATACAATACCAGTTATTAATACAAGTAGAACAAATGAATCCAACAGATTTCACCTTGAAACATTATTAAATAAAAAGAAAAATTTCAAATTTAGACGTTTCTTACTTGTCTTTAAAATAATGTGATAGTCCGAGTGCAACAATTTTCAATATAAATTCAAGTAAAAATACAATCGCAAAGGACATAATTACAATATTGAAGAAATTCATCCAAAATCTAAAAACAAAATGTTTTGATACTAGAGATATTTAATGAATTATTTTAACTTTTTTCTTACAGGCGATATAAGATAAAATTCCAATGATATTGTAACAACATACATACCAATAATAGCAGCAATAATTAAATCAAAATATTTACTAGTGCATATATCATGTAAACATATACGTCATGGTAAAAAATGTGTATAATATGGTAATTCACTCATTGAATGTTTTTGAAGTTCAATTGTTTTTGCTGGATACGACTGCTATGAAAATTTTCAACGACAATACCAACGAACATATTAATAATGTAAAAACTAACAACAAAAAGAAATGATATAAAATAAATTAATTTTGTTTCACTATAATGTTTTATTGGTTCCATGTCAATTTCAACTGCATCAACACCCTTGTACATTATTTGCAACCAAGCATCTTTTGATGTAAGAGCTAATAACGTTAATAAAGCCTAAATAAAAATAAACAATTGTATTAAAAAGATCTTATTGACAAAATCTTATTTGATAACATACTTGACCCAAATGATCAAAATTATTTTTTTGGTTTCGCCATCAATGATCAGAAATTACTTCACATTGCTGTCTTGTTGTCAAATTATGAGCAAAAGGATCTTCACAATAATAAAATTTATCTTTGAAAAGTTAAAAAACCACATTTAAGAGTAAATGATGAGATCAATAAACTGTGAAAATTGATAAAAATTAGTGTTGCATCAGTAATTCTATCAATAATTTCTTATAGGTCTAGAAAAAGGCAACATTGTTGAGTTGTGTTTCACACATAGTAGAATGAAAATACTCTTTTATAATTTTTAATACTGAAAAGATCTCTTCGGCAGATGCTGTAGTCACTAATGATGGGGAATAGATCTCTAATAATGCTTTGATACTTTGGTAAAACATTTCATTACACTTATTCAGTGATGCAATCATAGTTTTTGAAATTCCAATCATTTTTCGTCTTATAAGTATCAAAAGTTAATTGACTTGAGAATAAAGTATGAATTGTCTTTTAAGGTTATACATTAACCCTAGTACGACCAAGCTCGGTCATTTTTGACCCATTCTTTAGAACTCCTCCTCGAAAAACGAATTTCGCACCAAGTTAAATGAAACCAGCTGATATTTTCAGGGTATGTTGGAGCTGTAATGGAGAAGCTACGGTAAAATTTTCAGTTCTATATTATGACATTTAAAGGAGATACTACATAAACAACGGTCAAATATAGCTCATTTGGCAATCCAAATCTCTCTTTTGTTGCTTATACAATATATTGAATATCTTTTTTGTTCGAAAGAATATGTTGAGATGCAAGGCATGACGAAGTCCTTGTTTTAAATTAAGACGAGCTCAAGCATGTTCTGCATTCTGACATGCTCTGTCGATGAAAAAACAATTTAATATATTGTATAAGCAACAAAAGAGAGATTTGGATTGCCAAATGAGCTATATTTGACCGTTGTTTAGGTAGTATCTTCTTTAAATGTCATAATATAGAACTGAAAATTTTACCATAGCCTCTCCATTACAGCTCCAACATATCCTGAAAATATCAGCTGGTTCCATTTAACTTGGCGCGAAATTCGTTTTTCGAGGAGGAGTTCTAAAGGATGGGTCAAAAATGACCCAGCTTGGTCGTACTAGGGTTAAACAAATTCTGGGAAAATATTTTTCCTACCACAAATCACCTGTGGTCCTCCACGGCTATAATTTATGAGAGCTTTTTCTCGTGGTCAGTTTTTCCAAGGAAAAAGGTTTTCCTATAACCTGTTTAATCCGATGTAATTGTTTACGCTGATTTCGAATACAATACTCATTTTGATTCATTTTCGTGTCTTATCAATGAAAATCGTTAAAAACTTTCAGTTTTCATTGAAAAACCATTAAAAATAACCCCAATCAAGAAACTTGTGACCTTTATTTAGCTTCGAAGGCCAACTTTTTTCTTTGATATTTTATTACCATTTTGTAGAGAATTGAAAGCGGTATAACATATCCAAAACTCAGCTTGGTCCCATTTGGTTTAAATAAATGATCGCGAATATACTAAAAAAAATCGACCATTATGAGGCCATAAATTGAGACTCTTTACACTCTTGTTAGTCTGTGGAGTCCCAATAGATAAATGATATATGATAATTCAAATAGCTCATTTTATTCAGCTTTCAATGCTCTATCTTTTGGTATATGTTACGAAAAAAAACTCTCTGGCTTGTTAGAGTATAAGCTCACTAGACATTGGTAGAACAATTTATGGCCATTTTTAAGATGATGGATCGATAGTGCTTAAAAGTCGGTACTGGCTAACTTTTCAATGCAACGTCCAAATGAGTAAACAATTTGGATCTTGTGGTTTCAGACTACGCTCTTTCGAGTGCAGATAAAAGATCGAAAATTAAAATTTTGACCAGTGCCTCGTATATAGAGATGTTCCTCGATCCCTTCACGAACCGTCTCTTAAAAAAAGAATAAATTTATTCTTATTCACTTGGTTATGTAACTTTAATAGATTTTCCAGAAGACCATGCCTCACTTTTTGTAGTAGCCTTTGATGGATATTCAAATCGCTCGTCATCTACTTCTTTTATTGTTTTTTTTTCTACCCACTAGTCAGGCCAAAATCAACAGACAAAATGGACTAGACTTAGCTGTTTTGAAACAACCAATAATGACACGATACATGGTCATTTCATATTCGTCAGGTCGCCTGTGTCTACGTATGTTTTGCTTAAATTGATTCGCAGTTATCATCATGCTTTTTTATTAAAACATGTACAATTTATATAATCCATGTATACGTTGGATAGTTAGGAGATAAAACTAAATAGACCAAGTGTTATATTGAAAAATAAAGAAAAATAATCAAACTTTGATTGTACTCTTCATTTACCTTATACAGTCTTCTGCTTCTAACTATAAGTGACAAAAAAACGCAATGTATTTAGAATTCTTATCGAACGAAATTCTACTTTATTTATTCGATTACTTTAATGATACAGATCTGTTTCATGCATTTTATGGTCTCAATATTCATTTCAACTTACTTCTTTACAAACAATGTCGATTCTATCGCTTTAATTTTGACTCTACGTCAAAACGTACTTTCGATCTGATATGTCAACAACATTTGCCATTGATTGCTGATCGAATCATTGCTCTTCAAATATATAATTACGAGACCATAACACAATGTGATTTATTTGTTTCTTATATACCATCATTCCATCAATTGACTTGCTTACGATCATTAACAATAGTTAAACTTCGTTCATACAAAGTATTTATAGAACTCTTAAACAAATGTCATCAACTCGATAATCTTAATTGTTTAAATGTTAACCATTGCCATTTTCCAACAGAGGAAGCTGATTTTTCATTGATTATTGACAAGATTTGGAGTTTATCTAAACTTACTGACTGTCATTTTCGCAACATTTTTACAAGCCCATACTATTTTAGGGCACCGACAATTATCTCGACATCAATGGAACATGTAACAATATTTCATAGTGAACTTTCATCCGATAAAATAAAACGATTGTTTAATTATACACCTCGTTTGAAACGTCTTTCGGTGAAAGTTATGAATTTGCCCAACAATAATTATATAACATCTTCACATCCAAAACTAATTCAATTAAATATGCACTTTCCTTACAGTATAAGCATTTCGACAATACCAGATTTCTTGAAAAGTATGCCTAATTTACGTCATTTGGAGATCAACCTAAGACATAATCTAATCAATGGTCATCAATGGGAACATGTCATTCGTAATTACTTACCGAAACTCAAAACATTCCGATTAGAAATGAGATGTGTTCCTCGTGGCAATCAAATTATACAAGAACAAGCTGACAACTTATTTGATTCATTTCGAAATTCATTTTGGATTGATGAAAAACAATGGTTTGTCCGATGTTTTGTAGGAAAAGGTGTCATTTCTCTTAACACTCTCTCTAACAAGCCTGATGAATACGAAGAAATTATTTCAGGTCTACATAAATACACATGTTCAGATGATGATTATCGAAAGTATTATAGTTGCATGACTACAATCGATGATATCACATTTTTCAATCATCCAATTCCATCTAACATTCGTCTATCGAATATCACATACCTTTGTATAAAACTTCCCGTCAATGCTCAATTTTGGTCAATTGTTCCAAATTTAAACAAGCTAAAGACACTTGTTCTATCATCCTATGATGATACTATGGAATCAGAATTACAAGCTATATTAGATCGAGCACCTTACCTAACTATACTGACTATTCATCAAGATGCATCATTATCTATACAAATGTCATTATTCAAATATACAAATCCATCCATTCGTGAACTTGATTTAACAAATTATGTTCATTATTTCAATGAAAAAGAGTGTCTTCTATTAAGTCATTCATCATTAGGTATTCAATGTGAAGTACTTTCTATTCGAATTAATAATCGTGAAAATATCATTACTCTTGTCAAAAATATGATCAATCTTCGAATATTACGAATTTATCGAAGTGATGAAGAGGATTCAGATCATATATATTTAAAGAGTAACAATGATCGGCCATTTCTTGAGGGAGACAACATAAATTCTAATGAACTTATTCAATGGTTAAAAGATCAATTGCCATCAACGTGTGTAGTTGTTAAGGATTTACATTATGTTCACAATATTTTAATATGGATCTAAAAATTAGACTAATTTAATAATCATCATTTTTTTATTTTTCATTTAATTGACGATTTATACTGTACCATATCATTTATATTAGCTATTGCACCACATTTATTGATACTAAAAACATCTTGAAAAGAATAAGAGTATTTCTCATTTTATCAATGGTATTCAAATTTTGTCAAGTAGTTAATAATCTTGGCATGGCGGTAGGTGGGTGTGAGTGTGAGTAAAGGAAAGATCTATACTTACACCCACACCCACACCCTTTTTTTCTGATGTAAATAAATATAAATTAAAATCATTTATTGTCACAAGACAATGTCAATCAGTTATTTTAAATGTAATTTCATTTATACAACATGATTTCGATTCTCAATCAATAAATATAGACGATTGTGATTGCTCACAATCAGAATAATCAATTTACTTTCACAAAGCCACTAATCATATTAAAACACATTCTATGTTCGTTTGCGATTAGAATTTCAATCGATTTTCATTTATCTATCATATAGTTTTAATTGTTCGTTTTACTATAATTGCATGTAAACCAATTGTTTTAGATATCATGTATGCCAATGAATTTCGTTTTAATAGATGTTTGTTTTTCATGTCATAATCGAATAATATAAAAGAAGTGTTGTTGTGTATATCATATTTGTGTCGCCCAACACTATGTTTTTGTTTGTATGAAATGCTAACTTAGGCAGTTTAAAAAAAAGATGAAAAGATCAAGCCTAGACATGTCTCCATCGTACATTTTATGTTTACATGAAGTAAGTTCACATGGTACGCGTATTGTGTTCTGTTCTTTTTTTTGCTCTCTTCATCGTTATTTGTTACACTTAGGAAGCATGTCTAAACTGAAGGAATAGGAGAATGTATCGGTAATGATATCATCTTTTTTTCTCTTTCTTTTTCTTCATTGATCAGTCCTCCGCTTGTATATATCTCCTGTATTGTATGTGAAATATTTACATTCTAAAGATATGAATTAGCTAATAATCATCATCGGCAATGGTAGAAGTAAAGCTATTTTTCCATTTTATCCTATATAAATGAAAAAGGAATTTTTTTCTGCGATTCCCTTATTCTACTTTAATCAGAAGAGAACGAAAAGAAGAAAAAAAAGACAGATATATAGTAACATTATTTCTTCAATTTGTTATTTTTCTTTAAGACAATCTATATAAGAAGATAACAAGTTTGATAAACAAATAAAATTACAAAATGTCAGCCACGAATCAAGGGTATGACCAATTCTTACAATTCGAATTCGCCTCCACAAATGCGTGCAATTGAACTTTCAATACTGTCCATTCAACGAGCGATTGAAGTTCTCGATCTTTCTTCTTTACCATCGACGCAACCATTAATTATTGCTGATTTTGATTTATCACATGGTTTTAATTCAATGTATGCTATGAAACGACGATTAGTTCTTGTCATTAATAATAATTTACCAACGAATAATTGAACAATACTTTTCGATCTACTCAATAAAGACACTAATTATAAATGGTTGATCATTTTATGAACAATGTCTTCCATCAAATTCTCTATCTATCGGCTACTCTTCTGCATCACTGCAATGGATGTCATGTAAACCATGCAATATATCGAATCATTGTGTCTCATTATTTTGTTCAAATGATGAATATGATAAATTTAAACGACAAGATCATCTTGATTATTCAAGATTTTTGGAATATCGTTCAAATGAACCTATTCCTGGTGAGATGTACTTATTCTTTATTTTCCTTGTTTAAATGATAAAAGATTATTTAGTTTTAAAATTCTTTTTCAACTTTTATACACATGTGCTATTTTATTACCGATTACACAACAAGAATTACTCGATTATACTCATCCATTGTATTACCATACGTATGAAAAATACATTAATTATGACATTTACTCGATTTCAACAAGGAGACTTAACATTGGATGTATTTGTAAAAGACCAAACTCAATTTTTGTGTAGTTGGGCTAAACCATCATTACGAGAAACATTAGAAAGGAATAATCATCGTTTAAAAGAAGAAGTCGAAACATTATTAGATCAATTTTGGAATTTATACGAATGAGAAGTAAAAGAACTTTCAAATCAATTCGATTTGTGTTGCTTTTATGCCTATTTAATATTGAAAAAAGATTTGATATGATTACATATTAAGAAAAGAAATTAGGGTATATGGTCAAATGTTACAAAATTTTATTTTATTTTTTACATTGTAACATCTATATCTGCTCAGTACTGACTTTTTCCTTAGCTATTCTAAAAATGATGACCGTTATGGAATTTCAAAAAATGGAATCTTTTTTGAGCATTTTACTATGAATCGAAATGACATATAAATAACCATCTTACGTACACTACAAGCTATTATAATATTACATTGTTTACTATAACAACTATCATTGCATAGAATAAAAAAAAAACTAAAAACACTGTTCGTTACAGAATTTCATCTTTTTCATGTTTCAAAGTCGAAGGTTTGAGAATCTGAAATTTTTTAACTATCATGATAAAAATATATCATTTCCCTAATTTACAAGTAGTACAAAAATAGTTTTATTCTCACAACGAATGCATATTGGAATTAGTGATTATCTTCCAGAAAAAAAAAATACAATTTAACAAGATTTAAAAGCATACAAATTTATTTTATATATATATGTGATGAAAGAAGAATGGGGACTATATCACTCATTACTAAGGTATCTCACAACTTGCAACATGTTCGTTAATTCGTCGATTGCAGAGTTCACTTTTGTAATTTCAAACATTCGAATGCAAAGGTGACCGTTGGCTGGTCATGCTCATTACTAAGCAAACGCAAACTTCTTTAATGCATGATCACTCAAATTTTCTTATATGACTATATACTATCAATAATGAAAGAATGAAGAAACATGAAAAGACTTCAATAAAAAATATGGGCGCCTATGACTCGTTCGTCTATAGGAAAATTTCTTTTTCTACAGATATTTTTCTATTTTAGTTCGTAAATCTATATGTCTATATTCCAATGTGTTACTTACTCTCACTATTTTGAGTTTTATTAAAAGTTTGCTTATATGTTCTCAAAAGAATAATGAGTTTTTAGTTGAGAGTATCGTAGATTTGATCTTCGATAATAAGACTTTTTGTCATTTATATATTTAAAAGTTTTCTAATTAGAATTATGTGTTCACCGATAATTGAATGACATATATATATGACTATTGCTTATAATCATATGAAAAGGTGAGTTTTATAAAATCGTTCAAAAACAGTTGTTCTCTTCTCATTGAAAATTCTTTAATAACGTATATCAAAGAGTGAACAAGTTCGATGCATTCCGAAAAACATAGCAGACGAATAATCGATGATTCATTCAATATATATTCTATTTTTGTAGGAAACAAAAAACAAAATCATCATATATATATATATTCGAATTCTTTCTTCTATATCATTTAGAATTTTCCAAATAGACACATGGATCATATGAAACGCAAATTAAGTTTTAATGAATTATCTGAAGAAAATACAAAGAAATTACGAAGTAAAGTTATTATTCCACAAGTAACATAAAAACTTTTTTTCTATTATCATATAGATGAGTTGTTAGATGAATTAATAATTTCTTCTATTGAAAGTTTATCGAATGAATTATTCTATGAAATGTTCGATTATCTGGATGGTATTGAAATATATCAAGCATTTTCAAATCTTAATTATCGTTTTCAACAACTTCTTACATCTTCATCTATTCTATTTAAAATTGATCTTAATCATATAACATCGAAAGAAATATTTATGATTAATTATAAACAAATTAAACATCAAATATATTCAATTTATTTTCAATACCCAGTCAATATTAATCAATTATTAATATCGTTTACTATCGATTCTTCATTTAATCGTCTTGAATCACTTGTTATTGAAGATATTCAATCAGATAAACTTATTTCATTTCTTATTAATTTAAATTCGTTACCACAACTTTTCTCATTAAATATCAGAACAATACATACAATTGAAGATCTAAATAATATTTATCGATTAATTTTTGCATTACCTAAATTAAAATATAACAAACTCTATTTATATGGAAATGAATGTTCAATTTCAATTCCAATGGCTATTGAAAAACAATTTAGTACTATTGAATATCTTCATATTGCTCATTGGTATACATTCGATGAACTTTTTGCTTTAATTTCTTATACACCACAACTTCGTCATCTGAATCTTTCACATGCAAATCAAAATGATTCAGCTATTGAAACCATGTTACCATTTACTTTTGATAATTTGACATATATTAAGATGTATACAAACTATATTAACTTTGATGAATTTGAAATATTTATTAAAAATATATATTCGAAATTAAAAGTTTTATATGTTACTTTTTTATATCAAGATATAACTTTTCTTTATGCTTATCGATGGGAACAATTAATTTTACGATATTTATCTCAATTAGAAAAATTTTCTTTAAAATATTATGAATATAAATATTCAATATATTCTGGAGAACGAAATCAATTCATTTCATCATTTTGGATTGAACGAAAATTGATATTTAATGTTGAAATTAATGAAAATAATATTCTTTATTTAGTTTGTCCATACAAGTACATTGCAGAAGATTCTTTTATATGCATATAGATTGTTTGTTTGTTTTTTTTTTCAGAAAAAAATGGTATGAATATAATAATTCTACTGTTGAATATTTAACATCTACTCAATTGACTATCAAATACGTCTTTTATTATGAAGCTGCTAACGACCTATTTATCTATACTAAACGTATTTTAAATATAGTACAAATTTATCATTTGGATATTGAACAAAAAATTTCTATTGGTAGATTAATGCAAATTATACATTTATTACCAGATCTTATTACATTAAAAATGAATTCTTTAACATGTCATCAATCAAGAATAAATAAAGAATTTCCTACATGTTCATTAGAACATGCAAGTAAAATTAAAAAAGTTTATTTGGAAAAGACACAAGCGATTCAAGAAATTTATTTTCTTCTTAATATTTGTCCACATATGGAATTTCTTAATATCGAATCTATTAAGAGTATGACTATTGAATTATTTGTACGAAATATTTTAAATAAAATTAATAAAGATCATCATAAAGATCTTCGTTTATTATGTATTTATGTTTCAAAAGCAGATGATAATATGATTAAAAGTTTAAACAAAATGATTGATAATGAAAAAATTTTATCGAATTACACAATTCATCATGAACTTGATAATATCTATTTACAATGGAAATGATTTTTATTTTGTTGACGTTTTTTTATATATATAATATCTTCTCGTTTTTATTGTTAATAATATGTACAATATGTTTAGAAAAAGATTTTAATGCTGAACCAAATAAATATGGATAATGATTCATTGGATATTTTCTGTATAGAAGAGAAATAAAGAATAGGACATGATCGCAGCTTCCTAATTGTGGGCAAAATTTAAGGCAATTGGTGGAAAATGACTGCTTTTTGGAATGATTGAAATTCTATTATCTCAGTTTTTTTACTGTTTCCAAATTACGGTCACTCGTTCGTTACGTAGTTATTGCGAAATTGAAGCATGACTTGTGTGTGACTGATGAATATAAAATATGAGAAAGATAATAATAACATCTCATTTGATACAATAGATACTAAGTTTACGTGGTCTTTCTTTGAGGTTAAAGTTTCAGATTAGTTTATTGAGTTTTTCTTTTGAAAAGTCCAGAAATATGAACTAAAATTTTCACAAAACAGCAGTAGATAAACATTTAGGCTCTCTAATGCACGAAAACGGAAAATGACTGCAAACCTCTATATGCCACAAGATAGAGCGTTTGACGCTCTACAAAACCTACTAGATCACAATTCACCCAAATTCGGAAGGCGTTTTTTATTATAAGATAAAGTTTGTGTTGCAGTGAACTTTTTGTAGTTCAATTAAAAATTTTTCTTAAAAAATGGAAACATTTTGAATCATTTATGATTCGATAGAGCTGAGTATGGGCTATCAGAATATATATAGAATGTTTCAATTTGTTCTTGAAATAAAAGAGAAAATGTTCTCGCAAAAATGAGAACTTTTCACTTTAACCATGATTTTCCGGAATTTTTGAAAAATGTATTTTGCCAATTTCAACCCTAATTCATAATCAAACCCATAATAATTTATTACCAAAATGATCAGCTCATTGAGCTCTACAAACCCTGAAAATTTCAGCCAATTCTGAGAAAGTCGATGTAAACGTGGTACGTTTCCCATGGATTTACTCTATATCTCTTGAGATAAAAAAGTAGATACGTTTACAAAATAAGGATCGAGAGGGCTCGAGACCTCTGGAATTCATGTGATCCTAAATTTTATTATTTTTAAACTAGAACTTGTAAATATAGTTTTCTGTATGCGGTTTTTGACGCTGAGTCCGAATAAAATAGTTTCGAGTTTTTAAAATTGATTAAAACTGAATTATTCTGTTAGAAACACTGTGAAAAACAAAAACTAGTCCCTTCTGTAAGAACAGACACTCTTTCAGTTTTTCAGGTAAAAATTTGTATTAATGAGATTAAAACCCTAAGTATTCTTGGTCAGGTCTCAAAGCCCTATCGAATGGTGTATAGATAAGCCAAAAATAAAACGGTGTGGAAACTTTGACTTTGGCGCACCTTACATGTATTTTTTTCGTTCTTTTTTTCCATTTAGTTTACTTTCGATTATATTAATATTTTATTTGATTATGCTATATTTTTTATTTTATTTTAATATGATTTTTATGATATGTATTTTTATTCTATTACATTTTTGTATTTTGTTATATTGTTTTCATTTTATTTTACTTTGTATTTTATTTTATTATGTTACTTTTTTAATGTTATTATAGGTCCGCATTTTATTTTATTATGTTATAAGTTTTTATTTTATTATAGGTTGATATTTTTTTATTTTATTATAGGCATATATTGTTTTTATTTTATTATAGGCATATATTGTTTTTATTTTATTATAGGTTTATATTTTTTTTATTTTATTATATTTTTTGTTTTATATTTTTTTATTCTATTATGTTCTTTTAGTTTTTACATGTATTTTTTTCATATTATTGTGTTTTTTTTTATGTTTTTAAATTTTACATTAAATAAAAAGCTAAAATGAACTGAATGTAGACTATCATCAGACAGGTCAATGTATTTGAGGGAGAAAGTAAGGCAGGGGTGGAGTCAGAAAAGCTCTAATATTCAGATGAGTCCAACAGAATTTTGTCGGATTCTGTGGGTATCCGACATTTTCTGACTCTCGGTTTAACTGTCGGAAATCGCCAGAATCCTTGGTATCGGAATCCGGTCGGAAGTTGTCGGATGTCGGATTTGACGATTTCCGACAGGGATCCTGTTGGAAGTTGCCGGAATTTGTCGGATTAGGCCAGATTTCCGACAGGATCCGACGGGAGCCAGGATTTGGATTACTCGACCTGGGTAACGTATGTTGCTAGAAATCCTGAAACTTCAAAAAAATTTGGTCATGATTTTTCATCCTATTGAAAGCGGATATCAGGTTCAAAAATATTTAGTACCAACGCATCTGATTGATTGATTGTCGCTTTCTATCCTGTTCGAATAAAAATTTATTAATAGTTCGTATTAGAATAACTAATTTTCAGTTTTCTTTTGAAACTTTATTTAATATGTTTAATTTATGAATAATAGTGATCGATGATAAATATTGATGATTATTCATTCTTAATAGTAAGCCTGTGTTTTTCTATGCGAAGATTTAGTTGTTCGAATGCAGAGACCAAACAAAGCAATAAAACTTGTTTGATTCGTTAAACTCTATATTCATCAGATAAATTTACTCTTGAATTCTACAATAATTGCATAAGTATTTAGTGAACGAATATAATATTTCTGAAATGTGAAATCAGAATTTATTCATTTTGTACTAAGCTCTACTGAATATGCAAGGCTATAGACGAATAAAATAAAAAACCAAACTTGTTATTTATAAGGCAAATCTATGCACATAGCTTTTTTGGAAATATTCGATGGATCTTTCTTACTGTATATGATTCCTTGTGATAGATGATAAGCTTCTGGATGATGTTGAAAATCTTAAAGACTCTGTATATGTTCTATTATGGTGCCCTTCTCTCTTTATATGAGGTAACGAAAAAGAAAACGTGTTCCTATTGGCACAAGATTATTTTCCTCACAAAAATAGATGCAGATCGAATGAAGTAATCGAAGTAAGACAATTTATTGAAAACTAGAAGAATTTTCGAAACAAAAGAATATCATAGATATATCATTAATCTTAAGAGAAGAAATTTATCTGATAATCTCAGTAAACTTCAATAAATTGAACCAATAGAAAATAGAACTCTTTCTATTTCCACATTTGATAAAACAAAATCGTTAACTTTAATAAATTCAATTTTCAATAATCATATGAATAAATTTTTCGAATAAGACGAATTCATGTGAAAGTACACTTCATTCAGATTTTCTATTTAGTCGAAAAAAATCTCACGATTTCTCTTTTGCTACTAATCCAATATCAATGAATCATATTTAAGATATAGTGTATTTTGTTGTGATATTGGTTGTGCTACAGATTGTCTATCGATGATAAAGAAGAAATAAAAGCAGTTCATTATTTGGAAAAATTAATTGTCTCAACCTAAATCTGGCTTAA